ATTGAAAACAATAATAATAAAAACAATTGACAAAATCGTATCACATCAATGAATTGTACATAAATGTTAAAAGTGAATAAATTAAGATTTCTTTTTTACAGAATAACAATGCAGTTTTTAGTAATATCACAGTCATATAGCGATTTGAAATGTTGTTATCTAAAGCATAAACTTACAGATATTAAATGAACACTTGTATATCACACCAGTGGTACTAACGGATATGGTTAAAACACTGTTATAGTGTAATATACATTTATTGCTGATATAGCAAAGGGTAAGCATTTATATTATAAACACTAATATAGTGTGTATTAAAAGATGACAATAAAGTCTATGGAATGAAAAAATAGATTATAGTCAGATAATTACCAAAAGAGACAGATAAGGGAGATAATCACAGTTCAGTTATTGATATGATATGGACAGTATCATATCTCGGGTTTCCAAGTCGGGAATCCCCTACCTACAAAGGCCCCCGAGACACGACACTGTCGTTACATTTAACCAATAATTGCCACTGGATATGTGATGATAATTAAAATAAGCTCTATCGGCTCATAGAGCATCTACATGTGCTACCATTCCATTCCAGTATGAGTCTTTAAAAGAGGTAGCTGTCCTAACATGTTCAGCCAAAGCATTCCAAGTAGTTGCAGCTAAAACGCTAAAACCGTTTGTCCCATATTTAAGAATCTTAGTTCTGGGTACATAAACAAGTCTATTGTACCTAAATCAGTAAGATGAGGGAATCTCATGGATAAACATGGACTGGTCCCATTTAAAAGCTTAAAGGTTTCTATGGCTACAAGTCTAAGCCTATTGATATGAAGGGTAGAAAAATGTCCCTTTTCAAGAAGTGTCTCATAACTTGAGTTCAACTTGATATACACATTTAACGCTCTAAAATAGATTGTTTTCAAGCTTCTGGCAGTTTGATTTTGAGCAAAAATGCCAAACCAAAGGACAAAAATTTAAATTTGACAGGATAACGGCGTGATAAATGACCCTGCGTCCCTTAAAGGGAAGATACCTTCCGAGCCGCCCAGGGACCTTTTACTGCCTAGATACTTTCAAATGTTTTTAACATGTATAACAAAAAAGGTAACCCCCAAACGTTTAACGGCCTCTTTACAATGAATTACAATATTACCAATGTTAAAAATAGTATGTTCTTTATCGTTTTTTTCCAATTGCAACTGCCTGAAACTTGTCAGTGTTTGCCTTCATTCTATTTTCTTTCTCTTTCTAAAGTATCTTTGACGACGGACATCTCACTATGGGTACTTGACAGTGTGTTGTCATCAGCAGAATTAAAAAGCTTGGCATCTTTGGTAAAAGAGAAGACCCCTTTAAGGACATCCTGTACCCTACTGGTACCACCACCAACACGTACACATTGCTTCCTGTTATATAGGTAGCTATGGATGAGCTCGACTGCACCATTCCCCCAAACCATATGCCCTCAGCTTCTCCAATAGGAGTACCAGTGGGACACAGTTAGAGGCCTTGGACAGATCCATCAAAATGGCGGCATCACCTTTGTTGCTGTCCAAGGCCCTTCTCCACTCCTCGGTAAGTTCAATGAGGGTGGATTGACAACTGTAACCCCACCGGCAAGCCGAGAGGATGGGATGGAAGATCCTTCAGAAGTACCCATCCAACTGCTCAGCTATCGCTCTCTCTAAAACTTTGGATATCGCTGTTGGTATGCTTACAGGCATGTAGCTAGACTTACAAAAAGGGTCATCCTTTTTAAAAAAAAATATAGGTGATACCCTGGCTACCTTCAGCTTATCTGGAAAAGAGCTTGCATGCATCATAGTATTTACTATATAAGTAATAGGTTTAGCCATAATGTCACTAGTTAGACGTAGTATTTTGGGTGAAACATTATCAAGGCCAGTAGATTTCTTCATACCAATCTTACCAATATACTGCTTGGTATTACATTCATCTATAGCGTTTAAGGATATTTGTATTTTACCTAATTGCTAAAACACTGGGGTGGGATACATTTATTGGACATGATGAATCTTTTCCAATATCTGTAGCAACATTTGCATAGAAATCATTAAAAATTTCAGATACTTCAGAGTCTACTGTCACTATTTTACATGTTTTGACGCTGTGGTAATTTTGTCGTTGTGTTTTGACGCTGTGGTATGTGATGTCGTTGTGTGGTAACACTGTGGTATTTGTAGTCGTTGTGTGGTAACACTGTGGTATATGTAGTCGTTGTGTGATAACACTGTGGTATTTGTAGTCGTTGTGTGGTGACACTGTTGTATATGTAGTCGTTGTGTGGTAACACTGTGGTATATGTAGTCGTTGTGTGGTAACACTGTGGTATTTGTAGTCGTTGTGTGGTGACACTGTGGTATATGTAGTCGTTGTGTGGTGACACTGTTGTATATGTATCCCTTGTGTTTTGTCGCTGTGGTATATGGAATCGTTGTGTGTTGGCGCTGTGGTATGTGTTGACGTTGTGGTTATGTGTTGGCGCTGTGGTATGTGTTGTCATTGTGTGGTGACGCTTTGGTATATGTTGTCGTTGTGTGGTGACGCTGTGGTATATGTTGTCGTTGTGGGGTGACGCTGTGGTATATGATCTGGCTATGTGTTGGCGCTGTGGTATGCGTTGTCATTGTGTGGTGACGCTGTGGTATATGTTGTCGTTGTGTGGTGACGCCGTGGTATAATTATGTTCTCGTTGTGTGGTGACGCTGTGGTATATTTTGTCGTTTTGTGTTGACGTTGTAGTATATATTATCGTTGTGTGTTGGTGCTGCTGAGGTATGTTGTGTCCTTGTGTGTTTACGCTGTTGTATATTTTGTCGTTTTTTGTTAGCGGTGTGGTATGTTATGTCGTTGTGTGGTGACGCTGTGGTATATGTTGTCGTTGTGTTGTGACACCGTGGTATATTTTGTCTTTGTGTGGTGGTGCTGTGGTATGGTGTGTCCTTGTGTGTTGACGCTGTGGTTTGTGTTGTCGTTCTATATTAACTATGTTGTATATATTGCCATTGTATATAGACGCTGTGGTATATGTTGCTGTGTGGTGACGCTATGGTATAGGTTGTCGTTATGTATTTGCGCTGTGGTATGTGTTGTCGTGTGTTTTCGCTGTGGTATGTGTTGACGCTGTGGTATATTTTGTCGTTGTGTGTTGACGCTGTGGTATGTGTTGTCATTGTGTGTTTATGCTGTGGTATATTTTGTCGTTGTTTGGTGACGCTGTGGTATATTTTGTCGTTGTGTGTTGACGCTGTGGTAATTTTGTCGTTGTGTGTTGACGCTGTGGTAAATTGTGTCCTTGTGTGTTAGATGTGTAGCATATGTTTTCCATGTGTGGTGACGCTGTGGTATGGGTTCTCTTGTGTTGATGCTGTGGTTTATATTGTCGTTATGTGGTGACGCTATGGTATATTTTGTCGTTGTGTGTTGACGCTGTAGTTATTGTGTCGTTGTGTGTTGACGCTGTGGTAAATTGTGTCATTGTGTGTTACATGTGTGGTATATGTTTTCGTTGTGTGGTGACGCTGTTGTATATTTTGTTGTTGTGTGTTGACACTGTGGTAATTTTGTCGTTGTGTGGTGACGCTATGGTATATTGTGTCCTTTTGTGTTACATGTGGGGTATATGTTTCGTTATGTAGTGACGTTGTGGAATGAGTTATGTTGTGTTGACGCTGTGGTTTATTTTGTCGTTGTGTGTTGACGCTATGGTATATTTTGTCGTTGTGTGTTGATGATGTGGTATATTTTGTCGTTGTGTGTTGACGCTATGGTTTATTTTGTCGTTGTGTGTTGATGATGTGGTCTGTTTTGTCCTTGTGTGCTAGCTCTGTGGTATGTTTTGTTCTTGTGTGTTTACGCTATGGTATATTTTGTCCTTGTTTGTTGACGCTGTGGTATATTTTGTCCTTGTGTGGTGACGCTACGGTATGTTTTGTCGTTTTGTGGTGACGTTGTGGAATATATTATCGTTTTGTGTTGGCGCTGTGGTACAGGTTGTCGTTGTATGGTGACGCTGTGGGATATGTTGTCGTTGTGTTGGCGCTGTAGAATATGTTATCGTTATGTGTTGACGCTGTGGTATATGTTGACGTTTTGTGTTGGCGCTGTGGTATGTGTTGTCGTGTATTGACGCTGTGGTATATTTTTGGTTATGTGTTGGCGCTGTGGTATGTGATGTCGGTGCGTGGTGACGCTGTAGTACGTTTTGTCGTTGTGTTGACGCTGTGGTATATTTTGTCGTTGTGTTGCCGCTGTGGTAGAGTTTGTCGTTGTGTATTGCCGCTGTGGTAGAGTTTGTCCTTGTGTATTGCCGCTGTGGTAGAGTTTGTCCTTTTGTGTTGCCGCTGTGGTAGAGTTTGTCCTTGTGTATTGACGATGTCGTATAGGTTGTCACTTGTGTGTTGTCGCTATGGTATATGCTGTACTTGTGTGTTGCCGCTGTGGTAGAGTTTGACGTTGTGTATTGCCGCTGTGGTAGAGTTTGTCCTTGTGTATTGCCGCTGTGGTAGAGTTTGTCCTTTTGTGTTGCCGCTGTGGTAGAGTTTGTCCTTGTGTATTGACGATGTCGTATAGGTTGTCACTTGTGTGTTGTCGCTATGGTATATGCTGTACTTGTGTGTTGACGCTGTGGTTGAGTTTGTCCTTGTGTGTTGACGTTGTGGTATAGTTTGTCCTTGTGTATTGCCGCTGTGGTAGAGTTTGTCCTTGTGTGTTGCCGCTGTGGTAGAGTTTGTCCTTGTGTATTGACGATGTGGTATAAGTTGCCACTTGTGTGTTGACGCTGTGACATATATTGTCATTGTGTGAACCTTTTTTATATTCTTTTAGGTTGCTCAATAAGCCAATTTGGAGAAATTTCACTTATCTTAAAAAGGTTTGCAATGAACGTTTTGAAATCTTAATTTTCTTTTAAAGGTTAAGCACAGAATTTCAATGGTTCATCAGTTTTGGGAATAAAAGAGCGACAGGTCATATTCCATTTGAACGACATTTAATCACATAATAGGCATTACATAATGAGGTAAGTCATGTACATGGGATTGATTCACAAATCAACACTAGCACAACAGGTATATTTCTATATCAATGAACGATGAACATTAAATAAGCTCATAATGCAGTACTTCCGATTTCCATACAGTCATCACACAAGAAAATGTTACAACTTTCGCTCATTCACTCATCACGTGATGTAAACGGGACTTACATATAAACTACTAATGAGACATTAAATGAAGATTGATGTTGCCTTACGTATACAAATTGATTACCTACCTTATATCTAATTCAAGTTTTTAAAGTTTTTTGTATTTTCTTTTATAACTGTGTTTTCATATGCTGCATGCGCATGTTAAAAATACATATCAGTAAGAAACATCTAACCCAAGGTAATGTTTTAGATCCCCCCACCCCCAACCCACCCCCAAAAAGATGAATAAATTACTATTTAAATAAAAGTTTACATCAAAAAGATGTATGTTTGACAATCGCAAACGAAAATTGGACATCAAAGAGTGTTTGTCTATACTTAATATCTGTAGAGCATTAACCACCAGTTTTTTTCACTTCCGGTTTTATTCAACGTCACGCTCCTTCGCACTTTCATCCCAGTTCTCCACGTTTTGATTGTTTTCTTGAAGAGCTGCTCGCTCCGATGTCTTTTCGGTTGCTTTCCTAAAACAGTTCATGTCTGTGAGTCCTGTTCTGTAAGGATAAAGGGAGAAAGGACTACTCATAAACCCAGGCATTGGACCGGAAGTCAACTGCGAAAAACTAGGATACGGAAACTGTGATGGAGGTGGAAGTACATCACTTGAACGCATGCCACTAGGAAACATTTGTGCTCTGAGTGCATCACATGACAAGGTATTAACGTGTGACGTAAACGCTGAGTGGAGACCCGAATGTGCCATGGGAGCGGGAGACGAGAAAGGAGAGAATGCTGAACGCATACTGCTGCCATTAGGCAGCTTACCGTTGAGTGACTTTATGGTATGAATGGGTAATTGTCCAAAGTATGGATGAGACCGGAAGTCCTGTTTCAGGCGGGGTGTCGTCTGCTGGGCCATTAAATTATCTTGTGTGGACAGAAATTGTTCTATGGCTTTGACAAGGTCACCGTTACATCCTTGAAGCACGAGCTCCAATACAGACTTCCGCTGGAAGGGAAACACGCGCTCCAGAATCTCGAGGTTGTTGAGGTGACCTGGAAGGTACGGAGTTGTAGAAGGCAGGTCACGTGTCCGTGTAAGTGATGTGTACGGTGAATAAGGTTTCGGTCGTTCGGATAAATCCGTAACGTCGTTAACAGACTCGGGTGAAGAGGCTTCCACTCGGTCATCTTCGCTACTGTCATCGGTTATCTTCGGAGCGTTGTCTGTCAACACACAAAAATAAAAGAAAGATAAGGATTTTTTTATAATAAAATAGAATTTCTAAGACTATTAATCATAACTTATTAAAAGCTAGTGGTTTTTGGGTTTCCTTTTTAAATTATTTTTCTATCAGTTTTGAGTGATACCTAAGTATTACAAATAAATTTGTGTTAAATATAGCTATGAAAATCTAAGAAGATCAATTAAAAAAAACCCAGGTAATTTACGATTATTTACTCGAAGTTAATTAGCTTAACCTTTTTCCTTAGCATTTCGAAAAATGACATGTGTAACGTGCAGGTGAATCAAACGTTAAAGTTTACTATAACGGACAAGTGGTTTTGGAAACTGAATACCCAGAAATGTAAAATAAAAGGCGGTGCCAATTTTAACAGTAATGTATCAAGTTAATACCTATTTAAGGAACATTATTTCGAACTGGAAACCTAAGAACGCACGAGAATTTGACCTTTCCGTAAAGTAGCTAATTTCCCTATTAAGGTGTTGCCATATACACTCAATGTTCATTGTTGATAAGTTTAAATAAACAATAGCTACACTTTTCGTTCCAATAAATGTCAACACTGTCACACGGTGGATACACACAGCCGATACATTAAACTGATACATGTAGCACGTTATATAAACTGTACCTCCCGGCCCCCACTCCCCTAAACTAACACGAGTACGGGGTTCACAGACCTCACACGGGGCGCAAATCACACTAACAACATTTCTTGTATAATGCCTTCATTTTGAAGACGACGAAGAAGAAATTGATTTCAGGATTACCTTGACGTATTTGTTTTCTATCAAGTAATTTGTTATTTGACTGTGTCCGAAACAATGATATTTTGGTTTAATTTCAGTTTGAAATTCAGAATATTATTTTGACAGCCAAACATAAATTCGACAACTATCCAGTATTATTTACTCTCGCGCAAAAAGTTTACATCTTTAAGATTATCGAACCCAAACGAACAAATGATACAATTATCTTAAAACCATGAGCTGTTGTATTTCAGTTTAAATTGTTAAAATGTACGTTTTCAAAAGTGAGATTAGGAAGAAGAAAACTTTAGTGAAATAGAAAGGTTTTGTTTTATGTAAGTATTTGTATGAGATGCGCATATTATCAAAACAGCGCCGAATATTTTGAAAAAAACATTTCTTATAGCTAGCTACATGTTTGAAAATTAAGAATATAAACTTTTTGTAGATAATTAGATTCCATGTGTGATGTTATTTCTGCAAATCGAACGTGCACTTAAGTATCAAGAAGAAATTGGCTGGTTCCGGACATAATTCTCTTTTAATTTAACGGCTAAATATTATTTTCTAAATGTATTTGATATCGAAAATTATTGTTAAAGTGACAAAAATAGAAATAGAAAAAGGGAATGTTACAAATATCATCAGAAAACAGTTTTAAAATGTATTTACAACCTTTTGTATATACGTCTACACGTACGGTGTTTGTTGAGTTAATTTGCTAATGAATATTGAACAAAATCATGTTCAAACTCAAATATGACAGCTTAATAACGCTTAAAATCTAATGGTCATCATTCGGAAATGCCACGTTAGATTTAGAATGTCAATCTGAGTAAAATACAGATGCTAATTCATCATCTAATTTAACATCTGTATTTTATCAGATTGGATAAATGTGTATAACCTACTGTTGTCTATTTTTAATTGTATTCCAAAAGTTATATAATTATGGTTAAAAAAATTATATATTTATTTTTGTAGCGTTGTAATTAGTTTCAAACATTTGAAACCAATTTTTTTAAGGAATGTTAAAACTTTGACGTAGGTCGGTTGGTTGGTTATAGGGAGGAGGCAGTGAGAAGGGGAGAAAGGGGCGGGTCTGATTACTACTGTGATGTTCCCCACCATGATCACAGGGGACGGACTAAATTTCAGCTAAATTATCCAAACAAACACAAACACCGTCATGTGTTATGGTGCGTATTTACACGGAGATGAACGTACAACAGTGTGGAAAATTGGCCGATTAGTATTCTCACACCGTCAGCCGTGAGAAATATCCAAATCTGTGTTGACGTTACTTAGAACAAGTAACAACTGTGGAAAAACTATCACTCCCAAATGGCAACAAGGATTATTGCAAATGTGATTTCAATTAAAATCGAAATTCTTCATTCTTCTGGGTTTGTTTTATTTATTTATTTTTTCTCACAACACGCATAAGTGTTTCATTCGTAGATACATTTATGCAAATTTATTTATTTAAATTTAGATTCATCAAATTTTAATTTAAAAGAAAAAAAACGTATCAGATCCTGATCAACTGAATATATTGGCTATCCGCCTGACATTCTAACCATCCAATAAGGTTTAACCTAAAACTGTATCCGCCTGACATTCTAACCATCCGATAAGGTTTAACCTAAAACTGAATGCTTTATGAAAGAAATATATGATTTGCTTCGCAATCCGAATGACTATTCTTATTTGACATTCAAATAGTATCCTTAAATCTCTCCAATCTCTCCATTTCATTATTAAAATATGTCAGAGCGTCAATAGTAATTCCGGTATTATAGAATTTTAAATATGAAAGGAATACCTAAATTTAATGTGTTTATCTCAATCAGTCAGCAAAGTCCATATGTACTATTAAACAATGTGAATATTATCTTTCAGGGTCAGTTAAAAAAATGGCATAGCATTTCCTATAGAATGTTAATCAGCTAAGGTCAGAATATTTACAGAAGTTTGTGTTTTATCTATCAAATACGGCGAATGGCTCGTTATATTCTTTGGTCGGTGAATTAAAAATACCCCACCTATAATCATTAGAGGATTCGTATAGGCACTTTTAATGGAGTAAAATAAATACATAATCAATGCGGTTTGCGACAAACGTTATTTTTGTACAACATCGTATGATCTTGCCAATGGGATCCCGCTGGAGATCTGTGACCTGTTTAATGGATGTCAGTGATACATGTAACGGATTGTCAGAAAACAATCCCATTCAAACGATGTTAGCACGTTTAGAAATAGAATAAAATACAACTTTATCTTAGGACTCTTCTGGAAACGATTTGAAGATACCTACAATATAGCAGCCACTATGATTAAGTGTTACCTGCCTTCACGATATCTACCTTCTTATTTCACCCATTTATGTTGATAACTAAAGTTTATTCTGATTTCTATCAACAAAAGCCATTTATATTCACTTTCTTATAGCTGTCTGACATTGAATTCATCGCAAATTGTTATCAGAATTAGCAGTACATTGGACTGACATAATTTAAAATCGCTATTGTTGAAATAATCATCTTGCTATGCCACTACCTGTTACACATGTATGGGGTCGGAGCATATTTGATAAAAATCCTAAATCTTTAATCTTTGCTACACAGGTATTTGGAAATTAAAACAGAAATCAAAATATTATCATTTGTTATCCTATAATGCTGAGTAGGGTTTTAACAGTTTTATTCGAAATGAAATGCATTGCACTGTTTCTGAATTTATGAAGTTCTGTATAAGCATTTATATAAACGATAGGGTATACATGTTTCAAAAGAATATCGTCAAACCACAACAATTTTCGTCTTTTTAAAAACAGGATGTTCAAGAGAGCGCAAATAGACGAACATTTTATTTTTAACACTGTGACGGAATGAAGATTATAAAAGTATTTTGCGTTCTTTTTTTAAAGCCGAAAATACCGTAATACGTATTTTTCAGAGAAAAAACATAAAACACCGAATCGATAAAAATAGCTATCTTACACAGGCAATATACCACGTTTCTTAGTGCTTCAACTTAGTACTGCTGTAGGTGAACGGACGATATACAAGATACCTAGCTGTACCGATTACGAGCAGGTCATGTACGTATCCCTGGTCCACACAGATTCATACCAGGCATACACTTTAATTAAGACCAGAGAGATGCGTTGTCTCATTGATTTGACAAAACTCAACTGACTAACCCTGAGTTAGAGATGATCTGGACGTTATGTTTTTGAGTAATTTTTCAGGAGTCAATAATAAATTTCGGAGGATCAGAAAATAGAAATATTTCGAATTCAATCTGTTTTTTCTGATGGACGTCGTGTGACGTCACATCACACTTACCTATAGAATCGTCATCATCTTCTCGGTCGTCCTTGTCACCTTGGGGTGGGGACACTGTGCCCGGCCCCCACAGTGGACCCGACGTCATCACAGGATGTATGTGGTCCTGAGCGCATGCCCGGAGCCCTAACGCGATGGCGTCTTCAGCTGCCTGCTGACGTTTCAGTGCAACCTGTGCCGCCATTATACGTTGACGTTCGGCAATCAAGTTACATTTCTGACATGCGCAGTCCTTGAATTTACAATGACGTTTATGACCCTTAAGCCAGGACACCATTCCATGGTTCCTGCATCGGGCGCACTTGGGTTTTCGGGAACCTTTTTCCGTCAGAGGATACAAAGTTACTGGGTTCATCGTGTCAACTGGGTTTAAATGTCACCGCTATAATTTAACAATATATGAAATCTTAATGATAATCCCGTTATACTGTTCTAAGTCAACCTGTTACACCTATCCAATGTAACTGTGTTTTGTCACTGAACAATCCCTAACAAACTTTGGTTCCGAATCTACTCTGATTTACGTTCCAAGTTCCTGAGTTATTTCGACCTTTCCTTGTCTGATTGTCTTCGCTCAAGTGATTTATCCTTCCACGTCATACCCTATTTGTAAATTGACAGAACATCTTCAAAGCCCCGCCCCCGTTTTTCTGAAACAGTAGAACTTATCGGTGGCCCAACCTCCGATAGGTATTGGCTAAACCGCGTTATATAAATATTGGCTTAAAGCGCTCCTTTCCCATTGGTCGTTTTGTGTACATTTGGTTTATCGACATACCCTTCAAACGAGGTCGCTATCATATCGCATAGTTGATGAACAGGCGGTGAAAAAAGTGGAAAGTATTCATTTTTGTAAGTTACAGTGACGTACGCCTTTTGTATTTTTCGATCAAGTTTGTTCACATATTATTCGGTACTCAGCACTTAAATTAATTACAACATAGCCATTTCGATAGAAAAGATATAATACGTACTCAATAAAAATGTAACGAAGTTTATTGACAATTGGATTTGACAACCGTTTTATAAATTTATTTCATTTCAATTTCATTAAATGATAATTATACCCTGCTCGGCAGTCTGAAGAGCGAACCTCAATGGACTGTGGTAACTATTCAGAAAGGGGCGTGGCAGTTCTGACTGGGAAATTAGAAAAGGTATTGAAACTATTAAGTTGTTACTTTTATCGTTGTGCAATTGAATTTACTGTTGTAGAATTGTATTATTCTCGTCAATAGAGCGATAAAGTGCACATTTTAAATACATTCTGTTATAAAGCAGTACCTATAATTTTCTCATACATAGCTTAATACCTGTTGTGTATCGATTGCTCATCTTATTTACCTAAGTGCGTGTGAACACATCATATTGTGTTTACTCGTCGTAAAATACACGTTTATCCCACGAAAAATAATAAAAGTGTCAAAAATACATAGCATTGTGTTTAAAAGATTTTTTTTTTATCCTTGTAAAAATCCAAAGTATGAACAAATAATTATAATGGAATGTTCACTGCAAATTTTTGTAGCAAATAGAAATTTTAAGAATTGAAGAAAACTATAATATAATCGCATCAACTGAATTTTCCAGATTAAACAACATGTCTCAAACTACATATTGATATTACATACAATACATCTTAAACTGTATAGTTCATGAGGATTTTATTAATTGCATGTATTTAAAAAATGGTTACATTAACCTGTTTCTTTCGTTCAACTGGAATCATATACAATAAAACAAATTAACCTCCTGGGAAACCTGGCAATTAGCAACAAATAGGATTAATCTAAATACCATCTCATAGCTACATACATTTATGTCAAAAACAGTTAATTCAAATACGTCTATTTGTAAGATATCAAACAAGATCATGTAGAAGTGATGTGTTCTCCTATACATGCGCGAAATATTTTCATATTCAGTAATGATCAAAAAATATATTTTCAGATTTTCATATTCAGTTATTATCAGAAAATAGATACAACTCGTCCTCAGTTCGTCAAAGTCCATTGCTTCTTTCCCGTAAACCATTCTATACACATTTTCAGCCATATTCAGCAGTATGTAAAAGTCGGTTTCGATACGTCTAGGTAACTCGTCTTAGCATTTTGAAACAAATGTTAAATAGCCAAAGGTTAACATCCAAAGCTCTGTATCGTTGGATATACGAATATCTGAGATCAGTATAATTACGAGGAAATCTCGATACATAGCACACCCCCCCCCCCCCCCCCCTTTTTTTTTTTTTTTTTTTTTTTTTGNATTTATTCTATTTGTCTCGCTGGATACATTGCAAAACCCATTTATAACGCCAACATTTGCAATATTTGTTGGGCAAGGGGTGACAGTATTACGAAATTTCAATGTATGAACCCTTTGGGGTTGTCTGCAGCTCCAGTTACATTTTAATTTAATTCATATTTAGATGGAATGTCCGGGGGAGGGGGTAATCAACAACATATTGTGTCACACAATTAATTTGAACTATTTTAAAATTCATGACGGCAAACCAATGTCACTTGTGAGCTTAAAAAATGGGTCTGAAACATACTGGATTTATTGGCGATAGTGATTTTAAACGGGACTGTAGTCGAATTTTTAAGACAAAGAGACAGACAGACTGAAATCCTAATATCTTATCAATATATCAATTAAGCTTACTATCAATTCGTCTATACAAAATTACATACGATAAAACCATTGTAACTGATTTGTATAAAAGCCATAGGATCACTGTTATTGATATAAGTAAAATATGTGTATAGTTTGCGGGATCTGGATTCTGCCAGAGTCGTGAATTATATACACGACCTCGGGGGGAGGGGGAGGAGAGAGGGGACGGTACAGGAATATTATTTCAGTAGCTTTGTGTGTATACATGGTCAATCTGGAATCCATTTACAACCCCATCGAAACGTGACGTCACAATACCTCCCACGGTACCAGGGACTGCATATATATGTATGTATGACAGATCGTCGTTCATGTTTTGGAAAGGAATTTTCAAGCTTTTAAATGAATATTCTCTAAATAGCCTTAGAAATACTTTCTTTAATGACAAGTCAAAATTTACTTGGTTTTACTGTTGTTGTGATTTTACTAAAATTGACCGTTAAAAAGAAGTCGAAAATAAAATACCATAATTCCAAGAAGCAAACCTTTCCTATCGATAATGCTTCGAGTCACTTATTTTCGGTATTGTTTATGTTCGTGGTTATCCTCAAAGGGACTTTCTCAGAGAGAATTGGCAAATTGACAAACTATATTTGTACAACTGTTATTGTTGTTGCTATTGTTGTTATTGTTGTTCTTGTTGTTACTGCTGCTGATTTTTTTCTCGCTCTCAATATGCCCGCATACATTTTCGGAACATCCTGTATTAGTAAGCGAGAGGCATTGTGTGTAATGGACACGAAAATAGACATATCGCTACATATTCGTCATTTACAGAAAATTAAAAGTACATGTACACAAATTAAAACGTGTTTATTATAAAAAAATATTATTTGCTTTGAATAATTGCATCTTTCATAAATATAAACATTTTAAATACGGTACGCATGTTTAAGTGCAAGTCTGTGGTATGCACAGACTTTTCAATGGCAATAATCTAATCGTTTGATTCCAAAAATTGTCAATTTCAAATGGGCTGATGACGTCATACCCCATCATCAAACGTTTATTTTATTCAGAATATTTATCAAATTATATACAAGTATTGTCACAAAATAATGATTTGGTAATATGGTCTTTGCTATATTATTAACGAAATTTTAAACATTTACACTAATTCATGGTGGGCTAATCCATTTATTAAACTTTGATTAAATTTTGAACACAGCTAAGCCCTAACCTTATTGTGTGACAATTGCTGAAATTTCTATAATTCTCAATTACGTAATGAGTTGAAACACATCTAAAAGGTAGATCAAGTATAATGATACCCTTTTAACGTAAAGGAACATTATAATTATCCAACGAGTAGAAATTTTCTAATCTAATTACATACATATATGAACAAATTAACAGTATGTTAATATTGAACCATTTTATCATTAAACTGTTCAAACACTGCCGGACCCTGCTGGAAAGCTCCCGACTTGAGCACGGTGTTTTCGTCACTTCGTTACAAAAAGGTTTTCTTTTCGTTTGTTGGTATTCGGCACACAATACACTGTGTTTTTGACAGGCAGATAAGTACAGGGTTCACAGTTACGATACCAGCTCAATCGTTTGACTACCCCTCCCATTTACAGTTCTGAAGGGGGTCTCCAGGGGATCAAATGTGTATAAATTAACATTTTAGAAATAATTTCTTTGAGTGTTTTTTCCATTAAACGTCGTAACACTTTCAATTACATACTTTACGTCATTGTAATGCATGCTTTGCCATTTGACAATTTCAGTTGATGAATTAATCTAGTTTAGCAAATACTCAAACGGAATTCAATTACGTATATATTTTGAGTTAGTCTTTCTATTATTCAGGTATGTCAAATGAAGCACTTGATTCAGTTTTAACATTTTAGAGATAGATGTGGGAGACTCAGCCATTGGGAACACCTCGGGTTTTTTCTGTCATGGCAATCAGCCGATCATGTCATGGTACGCACCGAAAGTAAACTGAACTTTCCAATTAAGTTGTATTTGTTTGTTTGTTTGTGATTTACGACCTATTAACAGCTATGGTCGAGGACGAGCCATGTTGTGGTGGTGGAGGAAAACCGGAGATCAAGGAGAAAAACACCGACCTACGGCCAGTACCTGGCGACTGACCCACGTAGGCCTCGAACCCTAGTAGTAGCAGAATGTCAGACGCCTTAACCACTTGGCTACCGCGGCCCCAACTGAAGTTGAAACCATTAGATCTGATCACATAGAATTTGTATCACAATGAAAAATAAGTAAGTGGTCTTGCAGTTACTATTTACCCCGTAGAAATGGCGTTATAAAGACGGAAACATATATATGATATGCAATGGTGAAAACTGGGGGGGGG